ATGATTTGAGTAAACCTTACGTTTCCATTGAATCTCATAAACACCTTTTTCCCCTAAAAGCATTCTCATCCCAGCTGAACTCTAGTTTCGACCTCGCCTACGCCTTATCAGCAATCCTAGAATGAATTTCGCGGGAGTCCAGGATTTATCACGTTAGCCAAAATAGGGTGAGTACACCTCACATATACGATCTAACGGTAGTCTTGAAACCATTTTTATTCGACGAAAGAATGAGTAATTTAGTCTATTTCTATTGCAAATATAACTCCCACAACAGAATGTGATATGGGAAAATGCCCGGCCCTCCTTGAAATTCATATCTGTTCTTCTGCCCAAGGGCACTTGTCAAAATATGCCGTAGTGGTTAACGTTTCGAGACTAGTTGAGGCGAGATCGAAGCTATAATCCACTCCTGCCTAGATCAGAATACTTATTGGGAAAACAAAGCTATGTGAAATTCAATAGAAACGTAAGGTCTACTCATGTCATTATGGAAAAATTCTTCTGATATTGCATGCTTTCTAAAAGGCATTTTTATGATTTTGTTAGGCTCGTTGATGCGTAAATGCACAAACAAGGTGGCTTGATTAGTGCAATGTCAAGAGTGAATTAATTTCCCATAATACAAATAAAATGTGTGTCAATGTGTAATCAGCACCACCAACTGGTCTCGAAACCTCTACCCGTCTCCAAACCATCTTACGAGGACCTGGGAGGACTCAAATTCGTATTCATCACCAACACCGTCGACGCAAACATGGCTTTATGCAGACTCCCTGCAATGAGGTGAGGCTGCAGACGTATGGTCGCTGAGAGTGTGATAACGACTTGTGCTTACCAGCCTCGTTGAGTATCGGGAAAAAGCTAGTTTCTGCACGAAATTTCTCCGCTCCCTCAGCCACTCCAGGCCGGCTCTGACCCTTGTCAACGCAGGCGCCCAGAAAGCCGACGGCCCGGCAGTACGGCGGTCCGAACATGAGCTCGACGAACTCGGAGTTCGGCTGCACCAACATGCGATGCAACAGGCGACTTGGCCGCTTGAAGCCGTCGAGCATCCGCTTTTGCGACAACATTGTGCCACTCGGGGTGGAGAACGATGCTAAGATCGAGAACACGGTTGAGGTCAAGATCGAGATCGAGGTCAGGGTCAAGATCGTTGCGGCGATCTGCGGCCGACGGCGCCGCAGTGGTGAGGAGGTCGAGAGCGGCAGAAGCGGCAGAAGCGGCAGAAGCGGCGAGGCTGGAGAGGACGCCTTAAGGCTGCTGACTCGATGAGAGTCTGTCGGTGGATTGCATTTGATTCAGGCCATTCTCGAATTGTCAATTATACGGGCAGAAGAGCCGGAGTGCACGGTGTGAGGTGAGCGATTCTGCCCAAAGGTCGCGTGACCTGTCGGAAAAAAGGTTATTCTGCCAATTCACGGAGGATGCTCTCGCTCTGTCTGTTTCGAGCTGACTGAAGCGAAGCGTGCCGATTTAGACGTTAGCTCAACCTAAACGAGTGCTTCTCGTCGTCGGACCAACCTTCGCATGCATACCGGCCGGAGTCGGTATATACACGCACACAAATGCAAAATCATGTCTATGCGTGAAATTGTACATGCACGTAGAAAATCGCATACACGCTGACAAACGCATACTCATAAGCTGGCGCACAAATGCACATGCACGATCGAGTGCTTGGACGGAATCAGAAGACTTGTCTCGACAGCTTTCAGGCTCGTAGAACATGTTTCATGCAAACAGACAACAAGTTAATGTGCTCCAGTAAACATTCAATTCTGGCCGCCTCTGTACTCGGCCGATCGGAGAGGCAAACGTTTGGGCTGGCGCAATCCGAGGCGTCTTTTATCGGTACCTTATCCTATTCTACATCTCGACCGAGAGGCTGGCTGGCGAGGCTGGTGAAGTTGCGACGGGTAAACAACTTTTCTGTACCAGTGATCGACTCCAAGTCGTCTTCGTCTGGTCTGCGCGAATTGCAGACACAATCGCTTGTCTCGGCCATGAACTATGGAGCACATTATACGCCTGTCTCGATTGGGGGCATGTCTGCGGCCGAGAGAATCCACATGAGGCAGGTGGTAGTATCGGAACGAGCTGGGAAACATTGACTACTAACAGAACGGATTGGCTACCTTCGTGCCGAGACCTGTTCGAATCAGCTGTCGCCTTGGACTGCTAGGAAGAATAGGTGTTGGAAGAATTCTGGCTTTTTTAGGATTTTTTGTTTGAGCTTGAGCCTTGCGCAACGGTTCGGCAATTCAATGATCAACTCATCCACTCAATCATTTGATTGAAGCGTCTGCTTTCGGCTTACTTTAAGTTGCAAAACATAAGGTGGTTTTCGGGCCATATTTTCGATTTATTTAGATTATGGACAATTGCAATAGGTCGGTATAATGGAATTACACTTATCCCCTTATCACATTAAACTATATGGGGTGAATAAATCTCATATATATGATATACTAGCAGTCTGACAGCCTACTTATAAATGAGATATAAGTAATGTGATCGATTGCTATAGCAAATACAATTTTGGTTAATTGACGATCACACTAAAGAATGTGATACATAAAAATGGTTGGCTTTCCTTGAAATTCACATCTGTCCTGTGACCCAAGGGCACTTTTGGCAATGAAACGTGGTGGTCAACGTTTCGAGCTTACACGCTATATTGTAATGGTTCGGGTCGCGCTGGAAGTGCTGATGAGACCTAGGAGAGGTCGAAATTGCAGTCCACTCTGGAGGAGAATGCTTTCTGGAAAAGCGAGGCTATGTGCAATGTAAGATCTTCCCATATCATTGTGGCAAAATTCAACTGCCAGTCCTTCGTCACCTTAAATGAAATAGGATGAATACATCTCACATATTATTGTAGATAATTTGG